TAGGATGAATATCATACAAACCTCTCCATTCTATCTACCTCCCCTTCTCTTGGAACATACTTTCCTCATGCCAACCTTTGTCCCAACCTCCTCCCAAAACGGACCCACTAACCTCCTCTAATTAGTACTCAATTTTTACTTTGGTCCCATCAATGCTTGTTGTAGTCTTTTCCAACGAGTTCTCATGGAGAAAACAATATGATAAACTAATTCTCGTTTGTCATGGTGCTACATGACAGAGAACAGCATTTTCTGAGGACATGGAAATTTTTTTAAAGAACTTCTGGAAACTAAAATACTTTTAGCCAAACGCATTTATCGCTAATGCTAGAATGTCAATCAGAAGAGCCAGACTGAGGGAAATATCTTTGGACACAGGGACATTTTCAAAGTCCCACAAATTACACCACTTTGGCAACCACTGACTTGTCTGGGGGGGGGGGTGTGTTCATACTGTGTTGCCTTGTTCTCAACTTCCCTACCATTAGTGGGAATAACAGATGGCAGAGGAGATGGTAACAGTGGTTGACGGCACAGCTCCTAAGCAACATTTGTATTAGACTTTTAGTACTACACTTGCAGTGGGAACCGGCCTAAAATAAAATGTAGCTCTGTAGATTTGTATAGGGATAATGTACAGGTGAGAAGGTGAACTACAGAATTAACTATGGAAGAGTGGAATTCTCCTTATTTCTCTCTCCAAGCACTAATTTTATGCTATTCCTGATTTTTCTTACTGTTGTTGTCATCAAGGTTCGCTATTATTGTGGCTCCTTCCTACTGTCCTTGCTTTAAACAAATGAAAACCTGTACAGTTTTTGAGTGACAGATAAATCACAATGCACTCCACTTGATACTTTCAGTTCTTTTTTCCTTTCCAACTTTATGAAGATATTAACTGTGCACCTCCTATGTAATGGAAATATTTTCTAAAATAACTAACTGCAATAATTCCACCAAAATAGAATAAGAATTCACACTGATTTGTAATTATTACTAAAGCCATAGTAGCTAGTATTTTATGATATTCAGAAGAATACTGCCACACATTATTCATAAAAACCTGATTTAAAATGTGCACATCACATTTCACAATTGCTCTGAGTTATGCTCATCTGGCATATCCTCCTAATCCTAGAAAAATTGCTTCAACCAAAATCACTGTTAATGGTCTTACAATTTTAAATAGGGGGCTTCCAATACTAATGTAGCAACTGATTGGCTATATTAAAAACCAATTTAAAAATCCATCTGGAGTCCAAGCTCAGAATTATGACGCTTGTCTTCCATCCAACTCAGCATGTACTCTGGATCCAACTTATCTGCTTTTTGGCACAAATTTAGACATTTAGTGGGAAGTGAAAACATACTTCAGTTCCTAGGAAAATAAGAGTTATATGAAGGTGACTAAGTTGAGGCAATGTAATCAGACAATATGGGGAAACACACTGCTTGTTAAAGATGTTAATACTTGTTAAAAAAAAGTAGAGGGGAGAGAGAGAAAAGGGGGAAAAAGAAAGAAGCAAACCAAAAAATCTACTGAAGAGTGAAAAAAATTATTGCTGATTTGCTTGCTTTATTATTTCTGTCTCAATATTACTTCCAGTTTTCAGAACCTTTTTCACATTAGTCTTCTGTTTATCTCAACAGTTTTTCATGAGTTGTCAGTGTTCTCTACATAACTTTATTGTAGCCATTTTAAAGAGGACTTGAGAATGGCTTATATTAGAATTTTAATAGGTCCAGATACTTCCAGAAAAAAGGGATAATGAAGTCATTATTATCTGTCATCCAAAACTATATTTGTTGCCTTGCCTTTCTTGAAAAACAAAATTTTATTTCCTTTTGCATACATGCTGGAGACAGAGTACAGAAATACACACCTAAGAAATATTGGCTTAAAGAACTAATTTATTAATGGGGAAGCAGTATTCAAAGTTATCAAGTGTCAAATAGGCTTAGATTTGAGTCACTCTGCTGATTAATAGTTGTTTGGCCTTGGGTAAGTGATTTAACCCTTTTAAACCTCAATTAACTTATTTATGACACACTGAACATAGTATCGATCTCAATGGGTTGTTTTAAGAGGGAAGTAATAGGGCTCAGCAGAGACAATGGAATACTGCACATAATAAAATAGCTACTATTAATATTTGCAGTTATAATAATTCATAATTTAATAGACAAATAGATGCAATAAAATTTATATTAATCAAAACCCAAGCACCTTATCCACCTCTCATAATATGCACAGAATAGTTAAAAACACAGTGGATTCAGTATCAGCGAGCTTTATCTCTTGATCCTGCCATAACTCTGAGTGGCCATGAGCAATTCTCTCAAACTCTCTGGGCTTATCTGAGATTTCTCACTTACAAAATGAATAAATTAAGTTCTTGTCTTGACTATAGAATTTATCTAGTACTATAGGGGTAGAACTACAAGGATAAAGGAATAGGAGTCCCTAGGTTGCAGCTAATAGAGCCATTATTCTAGGTTCTCCAAGCATGGATCCTGTTTGTAGGAAGTAACTCTGATAGTGGCCTAGGCTGTCCAAAAAACTGAACCAAAGTTAGTAAATGCCATAAAAACAGCTCATGATGTACCTGAAAATTCTACCCACTAATCAGTCTTGTCCTTTCCCCTTTCATACAAACCACGGTAACGGTCTACCAAGCTCATTTTGAATGTATTTCTACTGCATATTCATATTAAGGTAAGACATGTGCATAGTGTGATGAAAACTTGTTGCAATCCTGCTATATGGAGAATTAGTTTAGGTTTAGGTTGAGTCCTTATGTTCTTTTCCTAGCAATACTTGCTTTTTAAATATCTGTATATAGTTTGCATTAGTAGACACTCTGAAAAGGGAGAAAACATTCTCAGAAAAATTATAATATCATCTCAAATATTTCAACACTGTTCTGACCTGTCAAATCGTAGTAAACCATGGATGCTTCATTTACCAGAAAGTAATTTAGTTTTTAAATACTTTCAACTAAGGCTTCTCTAGAGAAAATTCAGCTATAACTAATAATTAATAATATAGCAAGACCCCTGACTTCTATAGGATCTATTTCTATTAGTTAACAATAAAAGCTAGATTTTAAAAGTTTAAAAAATCATATAAGAGAAGAAGAAGTCTGTGAAAGATATGCAATCTATGTTCTAGTTTGTTTATATTAATGCTGTTATTTTACTTCACTAGATTTACACAGACCAATAAGAATATATTCTTCTTAATATTTTAAAATACTGACTGGCCAAGACCCATATACATTCACAGGACTTTGGAAACTGACATCCTCTGCTTTAGATGAGTACAATTTCAAAGTTTAAATGATAATCTGCTCTAATAGCTAAAATCAGTCTTTTAAAATTTTCTCTATAAATACATATATTTTTCTACACAATAACCACTCAACCTTTACTCAGTATTTCTCTTTCTGGATTGCTAATTTCATGAATCACAGACATCATCTAACCTCAGAACGTAATGATTAGTTTGTTTTTCTCTCATATGCAATGTTATTCTTTAGGATGAAATAAGATATATTTCATATCAAATAAAACAAGATTTAGGTATTATGAGATTTTCTTTGTTTGACGCTATTTGTCAGTAGTTTCTTCAGAGGTATACTTAGTGGACAAAGGTATGCTAAGTAGCATTAATTAAACAAATTCATGACTGTATTTAAGACGAATTCTGTTAGAAATGATCACGCTGCAGTTTCATGTCTCCATGGGAGCAACCAACAACCTCAAAGGAGTTATCAGATTCTAAGTACTGTCTAGGATGAAGACTAGTCTGAAAACCATAAGAATAATGGTGTGGTGTGGTCAAGGGAGGAAAAAACATTCCATGAGATCACAACCTTTTTCATCATTTCACAACTCAGCCCTTTAGCAGGGGTTATGAAGGAAAGCAAACCAGGTCAGGATCCTTTCCGAAACCAGATGAATAACTAACGGTTAACATTTATTAAGGGCTTGCTATTTGTCTGACACTGTAGTGGCGTGGATTATCTCATTCCATGTTCCCAAGAACTCCCTATGAAACGGATAGTATCATCTTCACATTTTAAAGATGAGGTAACTAAAGCTTAGAGAGTTTTAAACAACCTACCCAAGGTCTATGGGACCAAGAAAATGGCAGATGGGATTTGAATCAAGTAACCAGAGTCTTGACTACCACTTCCAACCTAAATCTACCAAGAGGGAAGAAATATGACACATGAAGACACCAACACAGCTATCATATGCATTTAGACATCCATATCACATCAAATACTGCCCTCCAATATTCTGGAGCTCTTAATACCTTACAAAAAAAGTTTGTGTCTTCTTTATCTCCTGCAGAAAATCAACAACTCAGTGTCTGAGGAAACAAAACAAGCTTAATATAGAGAGGAGAATTTACTCTCGTGTTAATCCAGGAAACTACACAACATATTTTTATGAAATGATTATAGCAGTTGTGTTAGTATTCCTTTTTACCTCAGAAAAAGCCAAATCATATGCATATTACTACTGTTTTTTAGTAGCTATCCCCAATCCTCACTTCTACCCTACCTTTATATATTCCTGTGCAAATCATGGCAGAGATTATTACTTACTAATAAAATGAGAACCCCTTAAAAAAGCCAAGTGTATTAACTTTAACCACGTATACCTCACTTTGGACATATAAAACTTAAAAAGGGACTTCAAAGTTTGAAAAGTAGGTCGTTCCCCTAATATAACAAAAAAGAAAAAAAGCTTCAATATTCTATCGGTGACTTAACTCATCATTAACTGAAGGGGTTTTCTTTTCCTTTCCTAAAACCCTGCCTTTTGTGGGTACCGCTTTCCTGAATTAGGACAGCAACCTAATTCCTGTTGCTGAGATAAGAAATTTAAAGCATTGGCTTTGCGCTCAACTTCAAACTGAGATCTTAGTAATTGATGAGCTCCCAGATCCATATGACATCCAATTATGTCGAAGTAAAACTACATCTCACCTTATCACCTTGCATGCCAGGGGGCCCCATTAATCCAGAAAGGCCTTGATCACCCTATGAACAAAACACAGAGGTTTAACGTTATGAAAGAGGACTGAAAATTAGAATTCTGTTGCTGCAGTATCTCACTTGGACATCAAGATCTTACGGCATTCATTTCTGATCTTCACAGTCTGGCTCAAGTTCCACCTCATTTCTGAGGCCTCGTGAGGCCTTTTCTGAGGCGTCCAGACCTTATCTCTTCCAGTGCTGAATACCTGGACTGTACTTCTCTGCTGCCAGGGCCCTGCTCCTTTTTCTCTGATATTCTTTTCTCTAGGAATGCCCTTCCCTCCCAAATTCCCACCATTCCAAGGTTTACCCTTTTTTAAAAAACTAAAAGAGTTTATTTTAAAATTCTATAAGTGCTTTACGTGGCAGCAATGGAGTGATAAGGCCTACTCTTTCTGGTAACCACTGAGACCGGAAGGTCCTCCCACTCCGCAGGGCTGCTGGACAGGGCTGGGTTCACATAGAGCACCACGGAAAGGGGCACTGCCGCGTCCAGGGCTGCCCGGGCACCTTCTGCTGGGCAAACGAACCACTGGGGTGTAACTGCAGTGAAAAATTATCAGGAGGGCCTTGTGTTTGGCTCAACTTCACCTATTAGGCCCATCCATCCCTCTTTCCCCCATCTTTGATGAGGGCTGTGAGCACATCTAGGAAGGAGAAAGTATACCAGTGAGGTGGAAGGAGTGTCTGTGGCAGGTAGAAGTGACAAAGAAAGATCTGGAGGAGGCTGTGTGAATTGACAGGGAAAAAACATGTCAAAAAAAAAATGGGGGAATAATTTTAAACCTGTTTAGTCTAGGTGCACTTTTTCTTTACCTCCATTCCTATTCCTTTTTCCACTGCAACAAATTTATTGTGTGTAGGAAAAAAGGCGATGTTTGAAAGAAAAAAAGAGTACTTAGGTAATAACCCTAAATAAACTCCTAGCGACTGTTTATGCTGTATTCAATTTTGAGTACATTATCTAGTTTAATATGTCATCAAATTAAACAATCAGAAGAGAAAAGGATGTTTCTGTTTATTAAGAAAGAAGTGCCTTTGCATTTGTTGTAATATTCATTTTAATGTGTCTTCTCAACATTTTATTAAGATGGCTTCCATTCGTGATGGGATGACTGGTTTATACAAATTTTTCTTTTTCTTTTTTTTTTTTTTTACATGTATTACTCTGATGGGGAAAAAGAAAACTGCACTAGGAAATAGGAGATCATCTCTTTCACTAGCTCTAATCATGGGTGGATTACTTGATTCCCCTTCAGGGTTCCTCCATCTAAAAAATGGGAATGATATCTCATTTGTCTTATAGGAAAAGAAAAAATACTGCTATTTAAAGGTTATCTTTGCTTGCCATTGAGGTCTGGAAAGGACGTAAACACTTATGTGTGCTCTATGAGAGCTATTACTTAGTTGATATACATGCTGAAGGACTAGACCCTGCATTGCTTTGGTTTTTTAAACATTGAACATATGTTTATTGTAAAAATGGCTAAATGGTTAAAAGTAGAATTCGATTGTTTCCTAATCCCCCTATACTTACACCAAGTTAATGTTTGTATTTTATTTGTATTCATATTGTGTGGGTATAACTAATATCCTACCTCAGTATATTTGAACCCAATTTAATAAAAGTACAATTTATAAGAAATTGATTTTAAATTTTACCATTTAGAAATATATATTTAAAAATTTAGAAATGTATCTCTCAATTTTAAGTTGGATTTCACTTAAAGTTCAATGGCAACATGGTATTAAGTCCCGTATCTTACTACATTTCTCCTCTGTAGTATTAACCATGATTAGTATCTAAGTAACTCAAAAAGTGAAAAAAGACTGACATGTTTCCAGGCCTCAGATCCCAGGCTGAATCACCCTATCTATATTTTATACAGATATTGTACACATTCTGAACCACCCTGTATTTTGCACAGAAAAGCCTCAAGGAAAGATAAAACTAAGCATTTGATATAACTCTGAATACTTAATTTGGGTAGTTTATTTAAAGCAATCAATCAAACAGAGTAGGTCTCTAATTTCTAAATTTTAAATAAGAAATTAAGTGGTCTATATTTAGACATTTTAGAAGATGGCATTTGTGTTTCTCAGATTATAGGATTTTTCCCCTTGTGATAATTAAGGGACCAATGGAAATACTGTGTTTCTAATAATAAACTTCCATTCCTTTTCTAAATTATTTAGATTTGGTGAACCAGTTTCATCACAGCAATAAAATTCTTCAGATTTTAGATTAATATATATTTTTACTTGTTAATATAATATTTGTAAGGTTCATTAATATTGTGTGATTTTTAAAAAAAACAGATTACAAGAGTTTCTGTAAACCAGTTGAAAGATCAGCTTTCAACCCAGGAATCACCAAAATTATGCAGGGATTTTAAACGTTTGTTAATGTATACCACATAAACAAAAACATCCTATAGTTGTATCATATCCATCAAGTGCTTGTCTAAATAAAGCTTCCCAGATGTATTCCTACAGGCTTCATTTGTATTCATCCTCACCGGAAAACAGTATCCTTTTCCTAATAAAGATTTTGTTGCTATCTTTACTTTAAAACATTGGTTTCTTTTTACCTAAGTGTGTGTGTGTGTGTGTGTGTGTGTGTGTGTGTGTGTGTAATGATAAAATGAAAAGCATACTGGACTAAAAGAAAACTTAGATATTTAATTCTACCCCTTAATATCCATGTGGTGAGTCATTTAAATTTCATGAATTTTGTTTTCTCGACTGGAGTTACTGTGAAACTTAAACAAAGATAAAGTATGTAGAAGTATCCTTTTTAAAAAGGTGTAAAACGGCATTGGAATCTATGTATAAGTGTGTGAATGCATATTAACAGCAAAATTTTTGAGGTTAGGACCATGTCTTGCTCTGATTTCTTGCCTCATCCTCCCTAATTGGCAGGTCACAGTAGACACTAAATAAAATTAATGGTGAAATTTAAATCGATAAGTTAAACTGATGATATCATTTACTAAATTTTCCAAATATTTCTTCCTTTATTAACATTCAATAGTTCTCTTCTTCTCTGTCTGGTATCAAATAAAATCTACATTTAAAAAAGATAAAAATGATTTTTAAATACTTGAAATATACCCCCATGATTTTATTTCACGGACATATATAATTACCTTTTTTCCAGAAACAGCTTGACCTGGGGATAATCCTGGATCTCCTTTAGGGCCCTAGATAAAACAGTTACAAAACACTCCATCAAGCACAAATTACATATCGTAAATCATACTTCTTCAGTTGTATGCATCATCAGATTGCATACACATTACATGGTATTAAATAAAATTACTTTAAATTGAAATGGACACGGACTATTTACTTTTTATGTACTTTTTAGCCTTATTCTTAAATGTTGAAAATATTCTTGGAAGTTGCCCAGACATGGCTGGCTTTTTAATCTAATAAAGTTATACTGCTATTGAAACATCTGTCTTTAAGGGACCTACATAAAGGCTCTATTACCTTTTCTGGTTTTGTGACATATTGAATTATAATTCCTGTTTTTAGCATTGGAAAATTAGTTACTTTTAGTAAAAGAAATCTGCTTATAATAATTCTCAAAATTTTAAGATATCATTCCAAGTTTAAATATTTTCCAATATCTTGCAAGGTACCTGCATTACTTTTATAATAAAAATAAACCAAAAAACCTCTAATTACTAAAATCATTTTTATTCTGCTATAAAAGTAATTTTCATACTTTGGGAAAGCTTATCTTTTGCATGTTGAGAGAAATATGATATTAGATTTCAACCAAAGTTTTCTGGTACAGTATTAAAGTCATCTTTTTCATTATGCATACTAGCAAAGCATCTCCTTTTCTAATTATTTCACTCCTCATAAAATAAAGAGGCCACAACTGAGATTCTTTTTAATTCAAATGTTGTTTCATTACCGTTCTCAACTAATAATAAATAATCTTCCAGTCCTGGAGAGTTCTAAATGCTATTTTCACTCTATGGAAAATCGGAAAATAGTCATGTCTTCTTTCACATATTCAGGGACACCTTTAAAAGCACTGACTGACGAAAAAAGGAAGAACAAAAGAAAGGTCCGTCATAGAGAAAGGTCCGTCATATTCCCCAGTTAAAGTCTTATAATTTTACCAATTAGAAATGAGTCTTCATTGGCAAAGAGTCCTATATTCTAGAGTTAAAGAAAAGTTTTAAGGAAAAAATTGTTTTCTAGGCTGACCTTTTCCCATACATAGCCATCACCACTTCTACCATTAAGTCTATAATTTAAACCATTGGTTACAAGATTATGGGACCTGAGAAATGACTTTAGTAATATTTCAAAATTTAAAAATGCTACTCTTCATCTGAGAAAAAAGATAACATACTTAGAATTTATAAGCGATATTACAGTTTATCTAGTAAATTACATTTAATAAAGAAGCAATGAGGCCCAGAAAGGTTAATTGAATTGGTTAAGTTTGCTTAGAAAATTATTGTCAAGCCAGGTCAATTTTCTTTCTCATATAACAATGTCTATTAAATAAAACACCTATTGGTTTTAACATATTTTAAGCTATTACAATGCCTAGACAGTTGGTTAGAGATATATTCACAAAGAATTTTAAAAGAACTTAAGAAATGACAGCTCTTGAGAAATCTGAATATAATAAAACCCTTTATGGCCAAAGTTTGTACTTATAAATCTCATGTTAAAAATTCTTATTTTTAGGTCCTATGTGAATTTTCTATTATTTATCAACTTTCTTATCATTATCTTTTAGCTTCCTTAATATATTCCACTAATTTGACATTTCATCTTCCATTAAAAAAATTAAAAGAGTAGGAAACAGTAATCAGTTAAGCAATACAAAATTAGATTGAAAGACAGAGTTTTTTCTTATTCATAAGCTTTATATCCCAAAATGCCTCACTTACTTTCTCCCTCATTGTGTATTGATTCTGATTCCTGAGACACTTGTAGTTACACTTGATTGGATTTTCAAATCATCCTTGGAATTAAATGTAATGTTTATAAATTAATTAATCATAATTGACTTGACCTTCAATACTGACTTTACTTCTATATGACTTCTGTTAAAGGAGCTATGTATCCTTTTGAGTATGCAGAAGAGGAAAAGGATGTTGTCTACACCTTATTACTCAAAGAATTCAAAACATCCCACCTATCACACTGATCGGCCATAGATTCTAAAATCCTCATTATAAGAATGGCTCTTTTACACTGTTACTGGATCTCAAGAGGGCCATCTGTCTATGGAAGGAAACTCAATAAGGTACTAGACTGATTAACATATTAGAACAGATTTATTGGAATGAAGCCCACCCAATATAATAGAAACAACATTGGGATTTGTAGTGAAAAGACTGAACATGTTACTTAATCTCTCTGAATTTGAGATTCCTTCTCCAAAATGGAATAATACCTATCTAGACTGGCTTGCAAGATTTGGAATCAAATTCTCTATAGATTATAAAGATGTTAGTAGTCAATATTAACAACAAGACTAAAGATAATCATTAGTAAAATAAATTTTACAATTATTGCCATCTTGAAAAGCAGAGAACACAACTCTTGAATGAATTATTGATGGTGCAACAAAATTTTAGTGAAAAGAATTTGTAATGAAAAATTCAGACTGTGGATGAGCTGAACTGGAAATCCATAAATTCATAAAGGAAACACGAAATGGCATGATCTTGAGGTAGCATCACTTGAATATTCTTGACTTAATATTACTAATAACTCCACAAGCTCCATAATCTCAGTTTTAAACATTACACTTTCTAATCAACACTTCCTACCTTTTTAGCTCACTCTCAGCCCCCACAACTTTAACAATTATTTGACCCACTGGAATTCCACTGAAAATCCCACATTTTCATTGTCTCACTCCCCACATGCTCTGACTTCTGGTCCTTAGCCAGCCTAAATTCCAGGTTCTGACATTATAATCACTCCTTTGTATACATAAATGCATCATTGCCTTTCTCCTTCTGTCTTATAAGCTTACCTGGCAATTCTTAAATCTAAACTCTCCAACTATTCTGCTTTTGTCCCCTAGCAGCTGAATGTGACTAAGCGAAAACATGCTAACAAATTCCACTTTAAAATCATGGCTTCTTACATTGATGAGTTTTATTTTCTTTTGCTTTTTGGTTTGTCCAATAATTGCCTTAGTCAATTCCCATTTTCATAGATGATGATTTCATAAATTCTCTCTTCATTCTCAACTGGTGCTCTTGCTTTCAAGTTCACAAGCTCTTATAACCAAATCCACTATCTCACTTAAATCTGCCCCAAAATACTCTGCCTTCACAACCAAGCCCATAATTCTCTCTCACCAGGGCATCACTCTTGCACTGTCTTCCCTGCATTATTTTAACTTTTACTTCTCTCCAGGATAATTGCCATCACTAAGAAACAGACTGTCATGGGCCGGCCAAGTGGCTCAGTTGGTTAAGAGCTCGCTCAAGAGTGTGAGCTCTGAGCAACAGCAGTGCGATGCCCAACCCGAGCTGATTTGCCGCTGAGCTGCCAACAGGTGGCAGGATGACTCAGCTAAAAAAAAAAAAAAAGAAACAGACTCATTTCTTCCATCTTAAAATACAACTTGCCTGGTGCCCACATCTCACTTTACAGCTCATTACACTATTCCCTTTCAGAGCAAAACTCCTAGATAGCTGTCTATGTTAATGAGGAGACTGCCTCTCCCTCCATCGTCTCTTGAACCCACTCTACTCAGGCTCTTGTCCCCATCACTATCCTATCTCATTAGTTACTCTTTCTCAGTCCCCTTTGCTAGATCCTCTTTTTCTTCTTATATACTAAACTCTGAAGTACCCCAAGACTCAGTCCTTGGATACTTCTCTATCTACATTCATCTGTAGGTGTTCTCTTCAGTTCTATAGCTTCAACTTCCATATAGACATGGATGACTCTGAAATGCATATTGTTAGCTATATCTCCACTGAACTCCAAATCCATATATCCTTTTTATATTTCCACTTGGATGTCAAATAGTCATCTCAAATTGAGTAAGTCCAAAAAGAATTCTTGGGAGTTCTGGTTCAGATAGTGGCAGAGTAGCATGTATAGAACTAATCTTCCTGTAAATAACAATTACAAAGTCAGAACAAGATACATAAAATAACTATTTGAATACACAGAAGAACAACCCCAAACAGAACATACTGGAGAGGATCCAACTCTTGAAAGAGTGGAACCACGCATGGTGTAGTACACATTTATACAGCTTTTCTCCTAAGGACACGCATCAGACTTCACGGAGGGGCTAGGATTCAAGCAGAAAACCCAAGACTTCTGACTAATGGGGCCAGAGGACAGTGTGTGGGGCTATCAGAATGACTGTGAATTGAGGGAGAAAATCCTAGAAAACGTCAACGAAAAACATCCAACTTAAGAGAAAATTTATAAGAGCTTATTTGAGCCAAACTGATGACAATTGCCAGGAAACAAAATCTCAATGTACTAATAAAATGCTCCAGAAAAATGCCATTTTGCAACTTATTTTATACATTAGAATCAAAGGAGGAGGGTTACATGAAATCCACTGGTTGTAGATTAAAGGGGTGGGAGAAAGCAAAGTGGGGAAATTTCTTTTACATTGGTGGGTACAACATAGTTAACAGCATTTTATAGCACATATAGTATTTGGGGAATAAGATAACAATGAGGGATTTCATAGTTTCATGCTCTGGTGTGGTGGGTTGTGCCCCCTTCCGGGAGAGGGGGGAGTCTGGAAAAAGATATTACTCTGATATTGCAAGGGTATGTTATCTTAGATGCAAAACGACTACAGGCAGGCTCACATAAGGTAAAGACTGGCCTTTGTCAAGGAAGTTACAGGCCAAGGATGTGACTTCCCACCATGACTCACCTTAGTTAGGAATTTTATCTTCACACCATCCTATGTGGTTATTTTCAGTCTCCTGAGCTTGTCAGGTTAATATGTGGCCCCTTTTCCATCCACAAAAGAAAGAAAAAAGACAGTTTCCCCCAAAACCTGGATATAGACTTCAATTCTTGGTTGATCCTGACACGTGATAGTTCCCAAAGAGCCAGTGGAAAGCAACACTTAAGAAGGCTGAGAGAATTTAACATAAATTGAGCTCCTGGCCACCACAGAGGAAACAGTGTGGGGTTTGAGCCACATCATTTCAGAGGGATGTGGTAAATGCCTTATAAACTTTAAAGTAGCCTTAGAAATAGAACATATTTCTATACTATCTTAAGGTATTCTCATTCATAAGAGCCACAATACTGTTTTTAATTTATTTCACAAATAAAAATTGTGGTATTATCAGTAAAAGTTGCGTTTCTAATTGGCCCAGGCACCTCAATAAATAGCTCCTCTAAGAAAAGAGAAATCTCATTTTCTTTAGTGTCACCTATGTACAAGCATTCAGGTACGTCCTGTTCCATTATGCATTGCATTTCCCATTTCCCAGTTAACCTTTTTAAACTTGCAATTGCCTTAATTTGAACTTTCCATAGATTCAGGTAACCCCCTTTTGAAATGGACAGGTTATTTCCTGTGCAAGTGGCAAGATAACATTTTATACAATTTTCTTAGAGGCCAATAATTCCACTTATGTTATTCTTGGTAAATAATAACTGAGAAAAGAAAAATAACTGGAATTGCCTTTATACTCTAAATTCCCTTAATTTAAAAGAAGTCTTTTTTCTCTGAAGGAAAATAAATCCTATAATTACATTTATAAATTTCTTGTCAAAGCTTGCAATCTACTTTTTTTGCATTGTCTTAAATAAATATTATAAGAGGATTATAAAGTATAAAGCTTAAATATTCTGTTAATCCCAATTACTCTAAAGCACATGTTAAATATCTAGGGAAATTGGTTTCACAAAACTACACACCACAAGATTGATTTGATGCATTTAAGTTACTGTGCTAATTTTTAACATCTGTCACAAATCTAATGGTCTCCAAAACTATGTAGTTAAAACAAATAATGGTCAGTTTTGGCTATTTTATTAGACAAATTATTAAACTGAATATGAATTAAAAATTAATATTCAGGTTTATAAGGTTAAGTCCCTAAGAGGTCTAATTAGTTGCTTGAAAATTAAAAGTAGGGGTTTCTTTAATCCCTCATATATGGGTTCATAAAAACATTTTATTGGTGATTGATTACAAATATCAAAATTATGTCCACCCTACTGCTAAATAGAATATTAAAGAGAAACCTTGAGATTCAAATTTTCATCTCGCCTAGATCATTTTACCAAAGACACATATTCATACTAGTCAATACTGGAAAATACACAGTTTTTAATCTGGGGACAATGATAATTTTTGTTTGATAACAAAGTTCTTCATTTTCTCGAATATTTTATTCTAAATACGTATACACCATGTAAGAAGTCAATTAAATGAAAGGTTTTCCATTATGTCTGTCTTCATCTCTCCTCACCCTATTCTCCACATTTATTTGTTTCTTGTACATATCTGTGTACTACTTGCTGAGTTCGGAAGAGGGAGAGAACACAAGCCATGTGGAAACCCCCCTCCTGTTCTGTCTCCCTTCCTGTTATGGGCATGAGGCTGTCAGCAGGAACATAAGGCCCCTGGCGCTTCTGCCCAGTGAAGAAATATGAGGTAGCCTTTACAGATACTTTAACCTTTTAAGTATTCCTAAAGTCCCCAAATAAAGCTTGAAGGGCTAAGGAATCACAAATTAAAAAGTGAACTTGTAGTTTCTTTAGTAGTCTTCTGTCTTTTCTAGCACTGCTATACATCCAGTTAAAAGTTTTCTTTTCTGAGACATTTTTATTGAACTCAAGAAATTGTTGGCAGAGATGGGAAACTTTAGGAAATTTAGATTTAAATTACCCTAGCTATATGCTATTATTATTACTTAATAATAATGATGCTATTTATGATATGTTAGCCCCGTGTTAGGTACTTTACTTACATTAATTTGCCTTCATGCCAGTCCTATGAGGATGTACTATGATTTTGCCCATTTTATAGAAAATGAAAATGAAGCTTAAAGTAATTTGCTTCTAGTCATACAAATCAATAGAGCAAGACTTGAACCCAAATCTCTCAGACTCCAAAACCTGTGTCCTTAACCCCTATCCTGAATGGTTACATCTTTACTTCTGAGTGTGATCATTAATAAGCAGAGGAGTTATTAATGACCCTAAAAGATTCATGAAGTTACTCGCAACCAAGAATCTAATGCTTACCTAATCCCATATATTAAATCCCATATATATGTATATAGTTTACATTTATATATATATATATATATATATAATTTATTTTTCCATTCCCATATCTCCTCTCAAGGTAACCAACGTGGTATATATCCTTTTTGTCTATGCTCACACTACTATCACACTATTATCTATCATACTACTATCATACATCTACATATGCTCATATATATATAGGTTTTCAGGTTAGTTGTTTTCATAAAATATTGATTATCCTATAAAAAGTATCCTCACAGATCTTTTATCAAGTGAAAATAGAGAAATGTGGAGTAGGGAAATAAATATTTTATTTCCTCAGTATTTATTTACACATTAAATGGCCTTCATTAAGTAATTACTTGTCATAATATGTATATTTCAGAGGTTTCCAAATATTGCCATCATATTTTGACAATAAAGGCTTTGTGCTACCAAAGCAGGCCTGTCCCTGACTTGACCACTAATGAGGTAAGTCCAAGTGTGGTAAGGTTTCAGAGAAACCTAGGTCTCCGCCAAGCTAAGACAATCCTGTTTGATGAATCAAAAAGCATGCTCTGGAGATGACAGAGATCTTCAGTTTCCCAAGGTTGGCTTTAAAAGTTAAGGACTTTCTTTAATAAAGTCAGGCAAATCATGTGATACTCGCTAGAAATTACTCACCTTTGGACCTGGTAATCCAGGTAATCCAGGATTTCCATGTGGCCCTGGTATGCCCTGCAAATGGAAAAAAAAGTCAGATCATTCATAGAATAGATCTAGATACAAATTAGAGAAAGTGTTTATTACAACATTCAAATAAATATTACATACTATAATCTCATTAAAATGAATATTACCTTTTATTAACAAAGTTCTTTACCTTTTCTGAGATCTGGAATATTTTAGTCTTAAAAAGAGAACTATACTAATTACAATGCAGAACTGTGGTTTCCATCTTTTGCTTCAAAACATTGCCTCCAAGGGGCATTTACCTCCCTTATTTATCCACCCCTATCTCCAGTCATATTGCTTAGTGCTATTTCTAAAAGCTATACAGAGTAAGGAGCCTAAAAATAATAGGGTGTCATTGTTTAGCTACTCTCAGCTCAATACATGTTAACCCTTTCTGCACTTGGGTTTTTGTTTATAGTAAGTAGCCTTAAAGACTTACTTCATTTAACCTTGCCCCTTACACCTACTCAAATCATTCTTCAGGTGTCAGCTGAGTTCTCAGCTCATTTTTAAATCCTGGATACACCAGCAGGAAGTGATTTCTCTTTCCTACTGACTGCCATAGAAATTGCTGCATGTAAAACTCATTTGCAATAATTGTATTTTCCCTTGGGACACTTCTTACACTGTTTTAATCTGTTATTTAAACATTTTATGACCATTTTAACTACCTTATGACATGTGCTATTTAGTTCCAGGATTATAAATTCTTTGAAAAGAGACTGTTTTTAATTTTACTAGTGTAGTACTTAGCACATATTAGCTATTCAATGAATTACTTGTCAATTTGAAATCAACTGCTTCTATTTACTGAGTATCTACTATGTGCAAGTAATTGTTAATGCTCTATACTTCTTATTACTAACCCTTATAACATTCCTGCAATGTAGTTATTTTGTATTCCTCCTTACAAATAAGGAAACTTCACTCACACGCCAGCAAGTAGAGGGACTAAGAGCCACCTCCAGAAAGCCTTCCAGCTCTCCAGGTCCCCTATACTCATTTGGGTTTGGTACCCATCTCTGTATTAATAATAACATATAGTTAATACTTATTTATCTATCTTTTCAATTCTGAATTAGTAGAGCCTTGTGTTTCAAGAAGGAGTGTCAGAAATGCACATATTGAAGGTATATCTAGCAAGATTAACGCTAAAGAAAAAAAGATTAGATTTCACGACATACGTCATTCATAGCCCACAAAAAATAAATCTGATAAAGTAAATGGAAAAAATTGTGGCAATTAACAAATGAATTGCTGCTGTAGATACAAGAGCAATGGATATAAACTATTATTTCACAAAGCTCAGTAGCACAAGAATGAGCCAGGATAATAACTTTAGAAAAAAGTAATATCAATAAAACTTTAGGATTTTTAAAAATGAGGATAATTTGTTGGTCATTACCAAATGAGATAAAATCTAGAGAGAGAAGAAATGTACAAAAGTTGCGAGTTTTAAGTTAAATAAAATTGAATGAAGATAAAATTAGGAACACAAATGTAATCATTAGCCTTGAGAAGAGAAATATTGTTCTTCCTTAAAGGAAGGAAGATTGGACAAATAAATGAAAAAAATATGGAAATTAAGGAAGGAGACTGCTGTATCATGAGGATGGATGGAGATTCATAAGCTGAAGGTTGTGCTGTGGGAGAACAGCCTTAGTAAGGGAGAGGGAATGCAACTAGAGCAAAGATGGACTCAGTCCCTGAGAAAAGCAGGATCCAGGGTCTCCTGACAGAGAGGGAAGAGGATGGAATTGTTTGCAGGCTAGAGGAGCGTAAGCAAGGTTTAGAAGACTCTGGGAAGAATGTGACAGGTCATTAAGTATGGAGAAGTGAAAGAAATACTAAATTACAGCTGGAGCCCAGTCTGTATTCATCTGTGGTCTCTTGTGGACGCGAGTTTGATGTGAATATGGACAACTTCAAGTAATATTTTAGGGTGATTTTTCTTTATATTGTTTATAGGATAAATAAAAATCAGGATAGAAAGAAAATGGATTACATATGGTATTTGCATTTGTCTTTATAACGCATAATCTCAATTTTTTTTTAGCTCTTCGAAGAATTTCTGTTAGTAAGTCTACATTTATTTTTCGGTTTGAAAGGAACTAAACTTAACACAGCAATAAATCGTTTGCTGGACCTGTGTAATGTGAGAAACTACTGCTGATCCTTAAGGCGGCTTTTTCCCTCAGGACACTTATTATTCTAGTCAATAGCTCCAGTATTTTCCACTATGTAACCCAGGAATGTACTATTTTAAGGCAGCCCACTCCTCTTCATTTCCCAAAGTAAATGAACCCCACTTTGGACTATCCACTACAGATGCTATCACTTTATATAACTAAGAATAATGTTACAAGTAGCACTGGGAAAGCCACTAATCTACAAATTTGATAATCTTTCTTGGGCATGTGCACAGAGAATGCTTTGGCTGGGTGTTTATACTCAAATAAACAGGCTGCACGTGTTCCTAAGCATCTCTTGAATTGGCAAAGGTACGGCTAAGTTTGAAGATCCAGGCAGGTTTCCAAAGGAAGTACATACTGTACAATGCTAGGAAAAATGTACTGGAAAGTTACCAATTCTAATAGCAAGTGGGAAACGGAGCCCATGTACTCACCCGCGGACCTCTCTTTCCTGATGGACCTGGTATACCTGCTGGACCAGGTGGGCCCTTGGAAAACAAATGCCAAGATATTAGGCATGATAACAGACATATCTTTTCTCACAAGCATTATTAAGCTTCTCATTCCAAGGATCTTTTTCAGTACCCAGTAACCAGCTGATGATTTTAAAGTAACACGAATCCCCTCATCCTAATCAGCAGGGGTGAGACTTGAAACTCAAGTGTCCTCTTTAATCTGGCCAGAAATGGCAGCAGGAAGTCTATGACTTATGGTTACAGGCGCTGTATCTGGTTTTTACAGGGACTGTAACTAGTAGTTTTGTGGGTGATTTTTACCTAAATTTACTTTTACTACTGAAGGAGGAATCCAATTTAGGCTTTGGAGACCAACAATGACAGGGTTTTTTTCCCAACACATTTCAAGAAGAAGACTTGCCTTAAAAAATTAAAGCACTGACCATTTTATGTTTCTTTAAAAAATGTATACGAAGGATATATGTAATGTGTTAAACTGTTATAATGAGATCCTTCTAGTATATTCAGTAATAAATCTGCCTTATACAAAATGCAGCATACCAGGAGATCACACATAGAGTTAAATGGTTTGTAAAACAGTTTGTATGAAAGCAAAAACTGATCAATTTTTTAAATGTTCTGAGTTCTTTAAATGTTATTTATTAAATATATCAAGTAAGAAATAGAGAACAACTTTTTTGCTTCTTCATATAATGTCTTAGGTCATCTTTTTCACTTAATCAATTGTGAAAGAATAAATGTTCGTTTGGGACATGGTTAGTACATATCCATTCATTCATCTGTTCATTACCTTCATTGTTACCAAGCACTCTGCTGATATGGCATTATTAGTGGTGTCTACAGAGCATACACATATTCCGTTTTATAAATATTCATTCATTATTGCAGGAAAAATAGTATGAGGTTTGAAATTAGCTATATCAAGGTTAAAATACTAGCCCTACGAACAAGTAGCATAACCTAAATGAGCCTCATTTTTCTGTAGCGTTTTTCTCTTTGAAATTTTCTCCTTTATTGATATTACAGTCTTTTTGCAATTTTCTAGTGCTCTTTATATATTTCAAACTGTCCATTTTCCTTTAATTTTATTTTTTCCCTCTCTTGCCCACTAACTGGATAAAAACCTTTAATGTACAAGTATGTTATACTATTGAGAGAGAAGTACTATTTCTACTCAACCCCAAACTCAGGGAATTCACCTTCCTGGATCATTCAAATGTTTTAGCTGCTATTATTATATCACTAGATTCAATCAAAAATTGACTTTCACTTACTAAAAAAAAAAAAATTGAAATTAGTTCCGGTTCTGCTGTTATAATCAGACGTTAACAGCTGTTGATTTGAATTGATGTCACAAAAAATAAAAACTAAAAATGGAAAATTAAGACAAATGTCTAATTTGGTTTATTGACCTATCACACTACTTTGTGACAAAAGAAAACACTATTCCATTCATATTGAAAATGCAGTCAATATCACAATTCCTACCACAGCTACTGGGGAAAAGAGAAAGTATATTTTATCTTTTTATTAAAATATTTGAGTTGTTTAATAACTAAATAAAAATCAATTTTAATTTGTCTTCACAATTTTGCATTTCCAAATCTCTGATAACAGGTTATTAATAGGTATTTTCTAGAAACAATAGAAGGAAACTAATTTTATATGGCATGACTATTTAAGGAGAATAAATTATTTTCTATCAATGAATAAAAATTTTTTCTACAAATAAATAATTTTCTATAAAAAAATTAATGGGAAAAGTGCTTTAACTTTCAGATTATTAACTTTCAGACTATTAATTCAATTAAAATAGCAATGGTTTTGTAATCATTCAATCTAGATTCAAATCATGCCTCCAACTATTTACTAGCTAAATGATCTTGGAAAAGTCGTTACGCCTTCTTAGCTTTAGTTTCCTCACCTTTAAAATCCTGATGATAAAAATCTACATTTCAGGGTTACTGTGAGCATTAAAGATATTATATATAAAATGCCTGTCACTCTGTCTGATGTCTAGTAGTTAACCAGTATACTATAGAGTATTTTATATTTTAAAGGTATGAATGGGGCACAGCAAGCACTCACTTAATATTAGTTATATTATTATTATTACTAGGAGATATATATATATATATATATATATATATATATATATATATATATATATATATATTAAGGCAAATGTATTCACTAGATCAATACATCTAAGAGATAGTAGTGCCTGGTCAATTAATCTTAGAAGTCCTGCATCTAAAATACCTTTTTAAAATCATTCACTCATTCATTTACTCACTCACTCAATAAACATTAGTAATCATCAAGTTCTCCTGGAGTTTACAGTCTAGATAAAAAGACACATATTAACAGATAAACACATAATTATACATTTTACTTAGTGATATGAAGAAGAAAACAAGCAACCAAGAGAGAGATTAACATAGTATACTAATTTATACTGTATCAGACAAGGCTTCTCTGAGGAAGTGTTAAGTTAGACCTAAAAATGAATGTGAGTTAGGAAAGAAAAAAATATAAAATTCCAGAAAATAGAAATAAAATGAATGAGGGCATGGGTAAAACAAAATAAAAAACAAAAAAACATAGTCTTACTGAAGAACTAAAAGAAAGCTAAGAGTGGAACGAGATGAGGTTGATGAGGTAAGCAGGGGCCAGATCACATGATCGCATAGGTCCTGATAAAGAAATTTCAGTTTATTCTAAGTGCTTTATTCTTTTGCCACTGAAGAGTTTAAGCAGATATATGACATGATCTGATTTATGTTTTTAAAAAGAGAGGATTTACATAAAATATGGCAGAAAGAACATTTTTTAAACTACCCTCCCTCCCTCAAAACCAACATAAAACACCAAAAGAAGAAATCATCATCTCCAATGAAACAAGGAAAGAACCACAACCACAAACCAGAAAATATGAACATTATCATCCAAATTCTGAGAAACACTGGAGTAAGAAGAGATGTTGAGAGATGACAAAACACAAACAAAAAAACCTCCTTAGGCCTCAAACCTTGGACAGGCTACAGATATCTAAAAGCAGCATTAGTCCTGAAAGTTCATTCCAACAATCCTTTGACTACAATGATGAGGTTTCAGGGCATGGGAAAGATACAGGAGGTGTAATTCATGACCCAGTCAAGACCCAGTTCCAAACAGCCAAGAGTAAGGAAGGTAGAGCTGACAAGGAAGAGCCCATCCTTTTTATGATCTACAACGAAATTTCCTAACCTCAGGCAATTTCTAGTGGTGAGAGGGGGTAAAAGACAAGAGCAGAAATCAACATACCACTTCTGAAAGAGCCTGTGACATATAGGGCCTCATGACAAACTGTACATAAAAATGAGAGGAGGTATATCTCTGGGCAGAGGACAAAATAAGTATGGTAAGATGGTGTTTAAGGCAGCAATCTAAAGCTAGAATCTGTAGCACTCCACCTTACTTCCCTTTGCCTTTACCTATACTACTCTAAAACACATAGCAGCCCAGAGAGAGTTGTTTTTAGTTTAAGAATGAGTAATAAGCAGAAAGAAACCAGCAAGGGACCTATACATAGATACTGAGGAGAGGGGGAAGTGTGAGTACAGAAACATAAATTAAAAGTCAATGAAAACCATTTATAAGAGGAATTACTCTATGCAACAGAGAAAAACAGTTCAGTCATATAGTCCACTGTAGATTCCAAGAATTTCAAAATGTCAATTTCCCATAAAAAGAGAGCTCAAAGAAGAATTAAAAGATATAAAAATAACAACCATGGTAATCAAATGTGAACCAGAAGAGCTTGAGAAAGATATGAAACTGCCAAAAAGAAACAATTATAGATGAAAGTCATTTTAGAAATAATGATAACTGAGTAAATACAACTGAAAAATCAATAAAGGAAAAAAGGTATAGGATAACTATTCACACAAAATGAAATAGAAAACAGAGCAATCAAATTAAAGTTTGCATTCTTTATTATTCAGCTTCAGCTTCAGGTGTACACTGCAGTCATCAGGCACCTACACCATCCATGAAGTGGTCTCCCTAATAAGACATGTGCCCATCTGATACCCTATGAAATCTTTACAACTTTATTGATTATATTCTCCAATACTGAATGTCAACTTTAATTTAATATAGATACAGTCATAGGATGTGGATGGAGTACAGCATAGGGAATAGAGTCAATGGAATTGTAACAGCTATATACGATGTCAGAGGGGTAGTAGATTGGGGGAGGAGGGTTATCACTTTGTGATGGGTGTAAATGTCTAACTATTACATTGCTTTGTACACCTGAAACTGATAAAACAAATTTAAAAACCTAAAAAACAAAAAGAAAAAAGAGCAATCAGGTGGACATGATTGTAGAGAAGATAATGAATACTACCATCACAAAGGACATTCAACATATGCATATGGTTAATATTAAAACATGGAAAAGAAAAAAGCTTGAGAATATAAAGGGAGCCTTTTCTATAATAAAATAAAAATATTCTTTAGATCAAAAGAGTACCAGAAAAGCTGAACAGAATCTAATGGGTTTAATGAACTGCAAAGATAACAAAAGAGCCGCATGAGGATACAGAGGGGAAAACAGTCACCTACAAGTAGAAAAAAATCAGAATACCCTCAGCCTTTCCACAGCAGCATCCACTTTGAGAAGCAGTGGAGCAACCCCTACAAAGTTCATCATTTCCTCAGCAGTCAGTCTCCTGTGTAGCTTTCTAAATCTACTTTTAGTCTTTTACACTATGCTGATGCAGGGTTCCCAGAGTTGAACAACGACTTCCTCATCAGAAGATCCAATGGATTCCTCCACTTTTCCTCAGTCCTTATCCTCTTAAACCTCTCTGTAGATTTTGGCACTGCTGATCAGTTTCTTCTCAAAACTTTCTTCTTTGGCTTTTGTGACAGTACGCTATATCCTTCTCTCCCATCTCTCTATTTCACCACATTTCTGCTTTTTTTCTTTTATAACCCCAAAGCAAACATTCCCCATGATTTGGCTCTTGATCCTGTGCCAAACTCCTTCCCTTGAAAATTATTCAACCCTACAGCTTCAACTATAAAGTTGACGGGAAGACTTCTAAACCTGTATCCCCTACCATGACCCCCCTTTTTCACTTCAGCTTCAACTTTTCCAACAGCTAGCTTACTAATTGCCAACAGTACCTTAAAGGTTTAATTAGTTTTATCTCCTAAATTCAACTTTCCTTCTTATTGCTTTTAGTTATGGTATCATCATTCTCTCAATCCACAGGCTTAAAATTTGAGTTGACTTAAATTCTCTCTCTCACTCTTTTTCTCTTTCTCTCTTTTTTTTTTTTTGGTTGTTGTTGTTATTATTGTTGTTTGGTCTATAGGTCCAATTACTTTCTTAGTTTTACTAAAGTTTTCTTCAAAATACCTCTTGAACCCTACCTTTCCTTTGCATTTTCACTGTTGTCATCCTATACAATGTCCTAGTCTGGTAACATCAAGATAACAGGAACTACCTATCTGGGCACTGCTATCAGACTGTTTACAAAATTCCCCATTGTGAACAATATAAAGTTAGAACTATCAATTTGACAATTACGCGTAAGACTCTCCATAACCCAACATCTAGCTTAGGTCTTAAATTTGTCTAACATTATTCAGCCTAACATTGTGGAAGAATTTGAGCTTGCTTTTATTAATCCATAAATGTAAATTGGCTATATCATTAACAGTTAAATGAAATATGTTACTCATATGGAAATTAAAATATTTCATTTAGAATGCTAATATAAGGGTTTGCTTTTTCCCAGTGATTCACTACAAAATTATCTCTATCTAAAATAAATTTTGCACTCTATTTTAATTCATTTGATACTATTGTGCCAAAAGGCTATTTAATTGATGTATGTGATGTATTTTTATTTAGTGTACTAATATATATATATATATATATATATATATATGAGTTATATATATAACTTTTATATCCTTCTCTTAACATGACTATGCATTAAGCCTATGTTTGTTTGTTTGTTTTTAATAAAGAATGCTGATCTATATTTAGCAGTTGAATTCCTGGTTAAATTTCAACTGAACAAGAAAAACTTATAGCTTACTCACCACTTTACCAGAATTAAGTAACCTTTTCAGCCTGCCAATAAAAACCAAGGAAAAAAAAATGAAGTACAATATTTGAGCCAGGATTGCATTTTTGGTTGGATGTGTTATAGCAACCATAAATTCAATCACTGTTGCCAGGATACACTTCTGAGATAGATCTAATCTGTTCTGTATTGTGAAATCCAGAGAATTCTTTTTGAAATGTATGGTAAGTTAGTGCATTAAGACATATTAAAAAACAACAACTTACGGGAGGTCCAGTGTCCCCTTTTGGCCCTCTCAGATTCTCCATATCGAGCATTGCATTAAAATCCTCATAATAATAATAATAATCATAAAGTTCAGTTTCATAGCTATTTTCGACGGGATAAGTAGCATCAGGATCAAATTCACCCTCCTTCCTTAGACCAAGGTGATTATCCACAGATGGCTCCTCTGTCACTCTGTATAAGGTTGTATTTAAAATCTGTTGCAGTTCCATGAGTTCGTTAGTGTGTAGATTTGCTCTGATAGCCTTCTTGAGATTGGTAACTGTATCTTGCTTTATATGTGGAAGAACAGATGATATCTTCTTAAACAGTGACAGACCAGTCACTCTATCACTATGTTGTGTTATATTGCTGGACACATTTAAGAGAGAATTAAATTTCTCCTCTCTATTTGTTCTTGCCTCACTGAGGAGATGATGACTCATTGACAGGCTTAAATTTGTCCGAGTAGGTTCCTCAGTGATCATTTCTTTGTCCCGAATCCCATGGTTCACAAGGTCCATAGCAGAGGCATTCCCTGAATGAAGAGAAGTTAACTGAGATCTTGGTTTCTGGTGTTCTTGTTGTTTAGACACAATGGCAGATGCATTATTTATGATATTTGGAACATTTTTGCCTTCAGTAAATGTGTCCTCTGACAGTACTTTTTCACCAAATTGTTTGGGTAAGGCAGAGTTTGCCGGTGTCTTAGCAGGTCCAATAGTTGTATGAAGAAGGCTTGTCCCAGGGCGACACTTCTGTTTCACGTATCTACAATAGTTTGCAGATGCTTCTGCAGAAGGAATAATATCCAACTGACATACTATTCCTTCAAAATGGACAGAATTATTATTCATACTTCCTACCGTAAACACACTGTTATAATCAAAGGTCTGAACTTCCGAAAGAGTCTCTCTGCTAAAATATTTCTTTCCACACTCAACAAACATTGAGACCACTTGGTTTCTAATAGTAATGGCAAGTGAGTGCCATTGCTCATCATGAACACTGTAGTTGAAAAATACAGACTGCTTTCCTCCAAGGTATACCACTACCTTTTTAGGTAATAATTGCACTCCTAATTGCAGTCTATTTTTATTTCTAATGCTGAAGAGAAACGCATTGTTTACTTTATGTGACTGCAACCCAATTAATATTGTAAACGGCTGTTCTAAGTTGACTGGTAATATTTTCATGAGAGGTGACTCAATATAAGCATCATTTGTTAAAATGACGCCCGATTCTGTTACATGGACCCCCTGAGGTAATGGTGTAGATGATGATGGTACTGCAGTCACTGATGATGAGTGTCTTACATCTTTGCCTCCAAGGCCTAGTTGATGAAGAATATCTATGCCTGGAAATTAAAAAGAGAGAGAAAAAGAGAAAGAGAGAAAGAATCTTACTCTTATGCATTCATGTGTTCATATAAATGTTTGAGTATGAGAAAATTTTCCTTGTCGGTATCAATAGTAATCCCTAAAATAAGCATCCTCTATCAATAACTAATTTCCAGGGAATGAGAGATACAGAGAGGGAGAGTAAAATGCTATACTCAATCATTTGAAAAACACATGCACACATGTGTTCACACACACACACACACACACACACACACACACACACACACACACACTGATATCCCTAAACCCAAATTTAATTATAAATGCTCTCTCATTTTTCCCAATCAATTAGGAATCTTATTTATTACACCAATGAATATATATGTTCAAAGATTCCCAGGTGCTACTTACTGTAATTTAGAACTTAAAATTTTATAATTTCTATGTTAAAGAGAAACTGTGAACATACAGTTTCACATACAAAAAGACATTTGTAATTTGGAAACTATTTTAAAAATTAAATTCACACGATCCTTTAAACTATAATTGTTCAGGCGGTTTCCCCTTCTAGCCTTTCTGGAAATCTACAAGCCATGTAACAGCTCTCCCTTTGCCTAATACTGTGTGTTCTACACATAAAGTACCCAGTCACCTTGATATCTCCTGGTCAAAAGAATTTAAATTCCTATTGCTTATGATCACCATTCTTTTTCTCTCCCATCCAAGTTTCTCTCTCTTCCATTTTATTCCTCAGTCTTCCACAGTAATTTTTATGCAAATAATATGTAGACTCTTTTCTCAATATTTATTGTATAATATAGATTTTACATAATACTGATTTTATATAATTGTGGATTTTTCTGGCTTATTTTTATTGTAATGTTACTGATTGTGTATTGTTTATCTCCCTTACCCAATTATAAACTCCTGTAAGACAGAGTCTATGTCTGACTCATTATTGGATATCTACTGTGCCTGCCTTGCAAGTAGTGCTATAATTTCGGAATGAATGAATTTGCCCCCACCAGAATCTAATCAGATGTCACATTTATCTTTAGAGTCCTATAAAAATGCTATTTATAAAGAATAATAAATCCTTTCTTAAAGATCTAGAAGAGCTTAGCCATATAATCTTTATTATTCTTTGGGTTACAAATCTCCCATCTGTATCTTTGTACATAAATAATGATTTCCAACAAGAAATGTCAAAGAATTGCTAATTCATAACTAAGGTAAGTAAAGAGAAATAAAAGGTTTTGAAGATTAGCCAGGAACATCGTCTTTATTTTCCTTTTACAGGAAATAAGTAGTTATTTGATAATTCGGTAAAAATCTCAAACATAATGGCAAATGTCACACCCAAGTCTGACAACTACTGGGGGTGCCAAAGAAATGTATACATATTTTAAGGGATGTTATCTATGTATTACTTTTCTAAGTTGAATTGAATTACAGTAGCAATCTCAAAAGATGGCGTTAATCAAATGAATGCTAGTGTCAGCATGGGACAGGCAAGACAGTCAAAGAAAATGGTGGAAGCACAGTTGTTCGAGGAGCAAAAGACCATTTTGAAGTGGTATTTGAAATTCAAGAACGTTGTGGAAGTACAATGACAGTGAAGGTGTGAGTTATGCAACAGAACCTCCAGCATGCCTAATAATTGCATGCATTCACGATAAGTTTGAGATTCATGGTACTGTGCTGATGTGCACAAGGGAAGATCCGGAGGCCTTGCACAGCAACAAGTCCTGCTTCTTCTGCTATGGTGTTGGAACAGTTTACAAGCTCACCACAGAAGTCTACCAAACAATGTGCTTGTAATCAGAAGTGCCTGGACGCTGATGATAACCACTTTGAGCACCTCTTGTAATTGCAGAAGTCAAATGTGACTTGTATTCATCGTTTGTTATCAGTATATATCATTACAATTTTAATACAATTTTTTCCTTTCTTGAAATGTGTATACATTTTTTGGCACCCTCTGTGTATACAACAATAAAATAATTACTGAATATCACTCTTGCATAATCTAGCAATACAATCAAAATGTTTTCTCATTAGAGAGTTTTTTAAAACATGCACATGTTTTATTTTAAGGTTAGAACAACCATCATTTATTTATAAAGTAGTTGTAATTTAGTAATGCTTTTAAATGTCACAATTGTACTTAAGACACCATGATCAATGTCTAAGATATTGTGTGACAGTGTCTCTCAGTGCCTCTCAAACTTTTCCTCCAAAATATTCCTAACAGCAATTTAGAATTATATGCTTCTCCAGGGATTTGGGGAAATATTTAAAAGGGGCCTCATAAAAACACACACAAAAAAAACCCTCTGAATTTTCATGTTTTATAATTTATGAAAAATTTTCATTTTGCTCCATAATATGGCTGTTTATTTCTAACATAAAACATGAATTACCAGCTAAATCAGTTAACTCTGCCCATCCCAATCTTCAATGTAAATTTACACTCCTGAAACATATACCATGCTTAGTCTGTGACTTTGGGTACTCTTCCCCAGTGCTACCTGCCTCTAAGAATGTGCAAATCTCAATTTGAGAAGTAAACTATGGAGGAAACACTGCTGCTGGGAAAACCACAATGCTTAAAGTATATATAATCATAAAGTATGTAAAAGTTATCATTCTATGATGCCAGACAGGTTACTCTTACACAAAGGAAGAGTCACATGTATGTAGTATGATATCAAGGGCTGCTCCTTACCTAAAAAAAAGGCTCTCCTTGCATTTAATAACCTCTACTACATACTTCCCAAATTTCTGATTCTATTAAAAGGAAATATTATTGGAAAGAGTATTATTTTAAAACCTGATAATACATATATGTATTTTCAACATTTATATATGTGTGTGTACATATATATGTATATATATATATATATATTTATTTATATTTACTATCCAATTTATTAGTCACTAAATTTCCTGTTATTGTACCATCCTTGTATTCCTAAAACAAAATTTATTTGATGGTTGTATATTATTTTTTTGATATCTTACTGGATTCTTGAGGAATAACTCATGTAGAATCACGGCATCAACATTTATGAGCTAAGACTGGTCTGTGGCTTTTCTCTTATTGCATTATCTTTATCAGAGTATAATATTAAATTTTAATTGTTTTCTATAGCATAGAATAGTTTAAATACCTTTAGAATTATCTTTTTCCTCAAAAGTTAGATAAAACTCAGCTGTAAATCAAACTTACCATGTTGGTTTTTTCATTGATAGTTCTTCCTCCACTTCCTTAATCTTTTATGTCAATTGATTTATTCTGATTTTCAACTGCATCTTGAAACAATTTTAGAAATTTATATTTTTCTGTGAAATAATAACTTTCTTCTAGGCTTTCAAATGTATTAGTCAGATATCTTCATGTAATATCCCCTTACAATACTTTTGGTTTTCCTATTTCTGTAGTTCTCTATATAATTTTCCAATTTTTAATGTTTTGCTATATTTGTTCTTAAGTCAGTCTCATGTTGGTTATTTCAAAAGGAAAGCCTTTGGATTTTTTTTTTTAATCCTCGCTATTTTTGTCAGTTTTTTATATTATTAATGAATTTATACATTTATATTAATTAATTATCTTACCCTATTTTCTTTTTGATTATTTTATTCTTTTTCTAATTTCTGAAGATGAGTACTTTAGTTATTTATAGCATTGAACCTATAAATTTTCTGAGTATTGCTTTAGCTGTATCTCATAGGTTTTGGTATGTGGTATTTTTATTTTTGTTTTTTTTATCTAAAAACTACATAACTTTTACTTGTGTTTTCCCATACACCCAAATAATTTAATAAAAACATGAAAAATTACCAGTTAGAAGGTTTTTTTTTTGTTTGTTTTCTAGTTTTGTTATTAAAATCTAACTTAATAGCATTGTGATAAGAGAATCATGTCTAATCTGCACTTCCTATTTTTGAAACTTAGAATAATAAATGGTCAGTTTTCAACTGTGTTTGATAAACACTTACAAAGGTGTTTCAAATTTACTATCAGTTAGCTGAATGTCACTGTTTATTATCTATATCCTGTATATCCTTGTTTATTTTATACAATTAATCTGTCATGAACAAAGAGGTAAAGGAAGTCCCTTACCACTAGTATGTTTGTTTGGCCTTTTATTTCACGTGGTCTTAACTTTATGAATATTGATGTTATGTAATTATGCATACATAGTCATAATATTCATACATTCACTGGATATTGCTCCTTTTCAAATTATAGATTTATGTGGTTGATAACTTTTTTTTTGGTATAATTTCGATCTTATCTGGTATTAAGACTAAGCCCCCTTTCTTCAACTTTTTTTTTGTTTGCATTTGTCTGATATACCTTTGCCCACGCTTTTATTTTCATCTACACTGAAACACTGTGTTTTAGGTAAAGAGGAAATTGTTTGATTTATTTTGTGATCTAATCGGAAAACTTTTTTCTTCAAATATCAAAATTAATTCTATTTACATTTATTGATGTGATTTTTTTAATCTTTAATTTTACTTTATGCTTTCCCATTTTAATTTTTTATAAGTCTTACACTGTGTGATTTTTTTTCCTTGCTTTGTTTTTGTATGCAGTTCTTTTGAGATTTAGAAAGGTCTGCATTTTTATTATAAGGGTTACCTTTAAAATTATAAACATATACATGTTAAAGATGTCCCTAACCATCTTTTTTGGACATATCTCTTACTTCTCTCCTATGGGTAATGTTTCCTTTTTCTTTTCTCCTTTATCCCCCTTTCCCTCACCATTTAATATTATTAGTGAATAAGATCAACTTTCATAATATTTACCTTTTTATTATTAAATATCCTTTTAGTATTTTTATTGGACTTATCAGCTTAAATAATATTAGTTCCCAGCTTCTACATATGAGCTAATCAGCAAATTAAATCTACTTTTTTTTTCCTCTTCTCCTGCCATTTTTTGGGGGTTGTACCATTCCTACATTGTGAGTTCATATGGCATTGATATTCTGTTCTGTTC